AAAAAGACTGACAAAATGATAAATGAACGACAAGACGTAAACAAACACCAGCCATCGTGAAGAGGGCTGACATACTCGGGTTTGCTCTAATGTTAAGTTAATGAAGTTCGTGGAAAATAAGAATGTTTTCATGTGTTAATAGTGTCTCCCATTGCTGCTGTTGATTATTTTCTACTGGCAATAACACCAGGCTACCAGGCTTAAACTAACACCAAAGGCTTCCATACCGTGAGAGCAGCCGTCTGCCAGCTGTTGTGCTCCATATACAATTTTTTACTTCGTGTCACGGATTGTTATTAAAATGACGTCACGCTCACTCGCTGTGCGTCTTATGTCTTAACGAAGAGAGAAGTACAGATTCACCAAATAACTCTTCCCGAATGTTTTTGGATCACGGAAAACGATAAATAGCTACAGTAAATTAATTAATGTATTAATTAACAATTAAAAAGTAAATTGTTTACAGAACCCAGGCAACAAAAACAAACTGGGATCCCGAACCTCTTGGGTTTTGGGTGTTAGTTACCATAACAGGCAGGGTACTATGGCCAGAACCTGTGGGTACTATGGCCAGGACCTGTGGGTACTATGGCCAGGACCTGTGGGTACTATGGCCAGGACCTGTGGGTACTATGGCCAGAACCTGTGGGTACTATGGCCAGAACCTGTGGGTACTATGGCCAGAACCTGTGGGTACTATGGCCAGGACCTGTGGGTACTATGGCCAGAACCTGTGGGTACTATGGCCAGGACCTGTGGGTACTATGGCCAGGACCTGTGGGTACTATGGCCAGGACCTGTGGGTACTATGGCCAGACCTGTGGGTACTATGGCCAGAACCTGTGGGTACTATGGCCAGAACTCAGGGGTGCTTTTAGCGGCCAGGACCCGGGTACTATGGCCAGAACCTGTGGGTACTATGGCCAGGGACCTGTGTGGTGCCTGGTGGCCAGGACCCAGGGGGTGCTCATGGCCAGAACCTGTGGGCATTTGGCGGCTGTGGTCTCCGTGGTGTGCCTGCACAGGACCTGTGGGGTAATTATGGCCAGGACCTGTGGGGTACTATGGGCAGGGTCTGTGGGGTACTATGGCCAGGACCCGGGTATTATGGGCAGGGTTCAGGGTACTATGGCCAGGACCTGTGGGTACTATGGCTAGGACCTGGGGTACTATGGGCAGGACCTGTGGGCCTGTGGCTAGACCTGGGTTCTATGTCTAGGACCTGTAATATGGGCAGGACAGACCTTGTAGGGTACTATGGGCAGGACCTGTGGGGTACTATGACCAAGACCTGTGGGTACTATGTCTAGGACCTGTAGGGTACTATGGGCAGGACCTGTAGGGTACTATGGGCAGGACCTGTAGGGTACTATGGGCAGGACCTGTAGGGTACTATGGGTAGGACCTAAAGGGTACCATGGCCAGGATCTGCAGACTGGCATGGTCACGAGAGAGGGATTAAATGAACATTCCTTTATATATATATATATATATATATATATATATATATATATATATATATATATAGAGAGAGAGAGAGAGAGAGAGAGAGAGAGAGAGAGAGAGAGAGAGAGACGTTAAGCCTTAACGTCTCTCTCTACAGAAGAAAGATAAATAAGGGTAGGTAGATAAAGCATAAACTTCGAAAGCCGTGAAAATAGGAAAAGATGAATTTGCATAGTATGAAAAACTCTGGAAGGAGAAAGAGAGCAAAGAAAAGGGTAGCTAAAGTGAGTGATGAGAAAGACTGTGGTGTGGGGTTGTTGCTAGGGGCGTGGCGGTTGGTTGTATAAACAGTGGGTATAGCTGGGGAGGAGAAAGTCACCCAGTCCTCATGGTCCAGTCTTACGTTCGGTTCAACATTACTGTGACTTCACTATGGTTTGTAAGAACTTCGAACCACTCGGTTACAGTGCGTGACAGACGCAAGGTTTGGGTTCTGAAATAACCGAAATTACGATCAAAACGCTGTATTTATCACACATAACCTGAACCTCTATAGTCTATATTATTATACTGTAGTACAGAGCAAAGGTACAGGGCGTCGATATACTGTTAGGATTCCAATACGAAGTAAATTAGGATGAAGCCCTTGGTTTTCAGACTTAAGAACTCGTTAAAATTTAATTTCGACATTTACTAAGATTCGAAAACAAAGCAAATTATAACTAACATACTTTCAATAATAACCCCAAGAATCTTAATGAAGCCTCTGGCAAGAATTGCGAGGAAAACCCATTTAAATAACCCCGAAGTTTGAGAGAGAACGCCATTAGCCACAACACCAGCGAACTTACCTTCATAAATAAATTTATTGATTCTTTAACAACGCACTCAGCTTCACAAGAGGGCTTCAAGTACTTTGGTAGAACATTTTGTATTTCTGAAAATGTGTAATGTTTTCATGCTGTATTTTTGTATATTGTGTTGCGTGATGGTTCAGTCCCGGGCGTCAGTCATGTGCGAAGTGTGAGACAAGGCGTCTTTGTATGGGAATGTGTGGTCCGTTATCCCCCCTCCCTCTTACCTCTAGTCCTTTTCGCCCCTCCTAGACCGCTTATCTATCCCACCCCGCCCACCCACTTCCTACCCACTCCCCCATCCCCATCCATCCTCCCCATTCCGCACTCCTCACACCCATCCGCTATAAACGACCCCGCCTAGCCTGACCCAGTCTAGCGTCTTATATTATTTGCAAGTATTCTCTGCCATTCTCCAAAGTTTCATCTCCCAAATATCTTCTGGCTTTCTCAACTACTAATTTACCCAATGGCCACCTAATCTAAACTAAAAGTGGCCAGTGGCCTATGTAGGACCCCTCCATTGTTTTTGGTAGTCTTTATCAAAGACGATTTTGAAGCCTGATCTTATCTTGCAGGTAATTTCATCAACATCGCCTTAAAATAGATATTCTGTATTTTTAGATGCCATATTCTGTTTTGCACACGCACATGCGCGCGCGCGCTCTTGTCTGCATTATACTAATTTGTTTTCCCAAACATAACATTCAGTAACGTCTGGGACCTCGAATTTCGAGAAATTCGATTGTAATATTCTGGCATTTGGTTCCTCCAAATTTTAGAGCTGTTCAAACGCAGCCAGCAGTCTAAAGCAGCAAGGGATAGCGTCAGCAGCCGTGGGGAGCGTCATCAGCAATAGTGTCATTGATAAGCAGTGTCAGCAGCTAGGGATAATGTTTCAAAGCAGAGGGAGTGGTGTCACAGCAAGGTGGTGGTGTCAACAGCAGGGTAGTGGTGTCACAGCATGGTGGTGGTGTCACAACACGGTGGTGGTGTCAACAGCAGGGTAGTGGTGTCAACAGCAGGGTAGTGGTGTCAACAGGGTGGTGGTGTCACAACACGGTGGTGGTGTCAACAGCAGGGTAGTGGTGTCAACAGCAAGGTAGTGGTGTCAACAGCAGAGTAGTGGTGTCAACAGCAGAGTAGTGGTGTCAACAGCAAGGTAGTGGTATCACAGCAGGGTGGTGGTGTCAGCAGCAGGGTAGTGGTGTCACAGCAGTGGTGGTGTCAGCAGCAGCGTGGTAGTATCACAGCAGGGTGGTGGTGTCACAGCAGGGTGAACAAGCCTCTACTGTGCGTTGCAACAGCATTGAGGTCGCCACGCGTAAATACCAAGCAGTTTTATGCCGTCACTTATATTTTTATTTATTTTTTCTTCAAATTAAAACCTTGTGTACCTCCCTCCTTCACTATAATACCGTACATAAATAACCCACCGTAATTTGTAATATTATATCAGTATACTTTTCGGGTCAAAACTAAAAGACATGTCCAGCCAGCTTGGGCGTTGTGGCGTCTTAAGTAAATTATTGCCAGCTGATGTTGACTAAATGTACCGGGGTAGATTTAAAGCGCAACAAGCATCGTCACGCTATGGTATTGCTATCGCTGGGTTATTTATTTATAATTTTGAGCATTTATTTTATCATATACTTGCTGTTGGGAGAAAAGAAGCACCAAATAGTTGTAACACGTTTTATACATTGTGTTCTTTTAGCACCTTAGCATATACAGTAGTTAATACGTCTGTTTCAGGCATGTCTTCACACTCGTCCTAAATTTTTCTATAAGGTGGGAACAATAGGACAACAATGTAGTTCCAGTGGCAGCCAATAACAGTGAAAATGTGTGATTCGAGAGGAGTGACGTCGTTATTTAGATAATATGGAATAGCGAACAGGGCTTAGGTTCACGTATGTGTGTGAGGATACGGAGGAATAGTGGACTGAATTATATCAAAGATGACAGACACTTGTAGAATAAGAAATGGAAAAATAAGAAATATCTGGCACGCACATGAGGGAGGTGGGAGTGAGCGATGGATCTCTGGTAAGACGCGATGAGAATTTGGGGGTAAACTTTTTTCGGGAAGGACTTAATATAAACTGGCTGACCATATACTGTATAATGGCACTGTCGTACGAGAGCACCGACAATACCTATTATAGGAATAAAGACAAGTATGGAAGAGCCATTTGTCATTATTGTTTCTCTTAGTATAACACAAAGCTTTTTCACTGGCTTGTCTGTATTAGAGCACGCACAAACATCGTGGGCGGCAAACTGTGCAGGATATCCTAGTTATGTGAGACCATAAACAAACTACTGTCCCCCCTCCCACACCTTCCCACCTGCCACCCACACCATCCTCCTTTAACTCCCAAAATCCTTGCATACGGTTGAACATCCTGATCGGATAATCTTGAAATTACATTACTTTAATACTGGTTTAAACATTCTAGTTACTCTGAAAACAACATCATTAATTAATTTTCAACCTGACGTGCTTCAAGTTTCCGAACAAAATTACGAACTCGCCAGGTGGGCATCATCAGAGGGCGCGCCTGTATAAAATTGTGCATAAATCCTAAACTGTACAGAGACAGTCTCTAAATATCCTGAATATATTGCATTACAACTTCAATCGTGTTCTTATTTGATTACTGAAACATCATAATTTAGGCAAGAGACAATACTCACTGGAGGATGAACGTTCTCTCCAAATAATAAAAGCTCACGCTGTCCGAACAAGTGCAAGATCTCGACTGAGCGCCTACCACTCTGCCCAGCACCCGACCTTACCCCTCAAAGTTAATGCCAGAAACCTTCACACTGACAACTTTTACCTTTTATCAATTAATATATGAACTTATATGAACTTTTAAAATTGTTCGTTTAAATGATTTAATTGTATTTGATAGAAAATATTGTAAACAGTAAAAAAATTTGTCATAAATGAGACTGTAAAAATAATCCTCAAAATATAAGCATAGTGGTGTATTGCTGGAGTGAAAGACAGACAGTCTTCTTATGGGAACGATTTTAACAGCAGGAGTAACAGCGACAGCACTAGAAAGTTCGAGAAAAGTCTTGTCAGTGCTTTGAAATTCCAAAATGGTAAATAAAAATAAAATAAACTGGGATTCTGAGGTACTTTAGGATATTTAAATGCAATAGGGAACAGGAAACGTGTGAATTGGAAACACCCCTGTAATAACCACTATGTTAATTTACCTAATGGTCACCCAAAATAGAGGTGACCATACCTAGGGAAGCGGACCTGTGATCTATGAAGGATTCCTCTATTTTTCTTGATAGACTTGTCGAGGGCTATTTTGAAGCTCAGTAATGGTCTTACTTCCACAGCTCACTTTATTATATCCTGTTAGCCTGTTAGCCGCTGACTCCAGAATGTATCTGAACTTGTGCCCGGGTAACACTGAATAGACTGCCCGAACGGCTAGTAAGCTGATAAGTAGCGAAAAAAAAAAGTCTGGTCTTCAATGAGGTCACACTAGGTGCCGTCACAACGCTGTCTGGCAGATTGATCTAGAGATATCCTAAATAGGAGTCTTAAGGCGGTGGCACACTGGGCACTTTCCTCCAGAAATGTTGCTGGGTCTGACGGCCCACATAAACAGTGACAAATGTCTATTTTTTCATCAATTTAAAACTTCTTTAGTATTAATAAATTATTATTCAGGGTCGTCTTTGACTAGCCAGCCGCCACCACTTTTAAGGCATGACTGGGTTGATAGGGGAGTTAATCAAAGCCGTCCAGTATCACACGAGTTTTATTCGATCATACCTGGAAATACATGTCCCACTGTCAGTTGTATAAGTACTAAACACGCAACAGCACTTATATTTGGTGTATTTAACTACATTACATTAATTAATCTCTTAAATTAGCTTAATTCTACATACAACAACAATTACCCAAAACTCGCTTGTGAACGGCCTGAGATTGAGCCATGTGTGTGGGTACAGACTGCACTGGACACTGTAAATTTCACCGTCAACTGTCACACTAAATCACTGATGCTTGATATTGGTTAGAAATCGTCTCTGGTACACAGAACTAGACTTCTTTGTTCCACAGTAACCCACACACGGTCCTGAGTATGGTTCAAAACACACATCTGCTCGCTAATGTACTGGCCGCTGACTACTCAAACCACAACACCCATCCTTCTTTCCTCTCTAATTACCACACCCCACTTGTTGTTTTCGTTGCTTTGGGCAGACCCGGCAACAAAACATCCCAATGTGATGCAAAACGGCTCTGTTTTACTGGCTGGACCGTGTTTGCCCCAACATGTTTGGAGGAAAGTTCCCAATGTGCCACCGCCTAGTGTAGTGTAAATCTTGTTTTGCCACCTCCTTTATCACCTTGGTCTATGCTCTGTCCACACCAAAAACTTAGAATTCTTTCAAGTTGTTTTTACTTTTTTTATGCTGTCATCTGTGATTGCTATTTCTTAGTTCATTTTTCACTCTAAGTATGCATTCTCCTAGGTACTGGCATGTTATACGGCATTTTGTGTAAACGTTCATTCAAAATATTTATTTAGACATGGCATCTCCTGTGTATTATTCTCAGAACCATGTTGTTTTCATTTGTTAGTGTCTTTGGTTTTTTATTTTGCTCCTGGTACAATATATGCATAAAAGGACTTGGAATCTTTCTTAATACTTTGGGCTAATATCATCTCAAAGTGCCATTTCACTTATCTAATTTCCAAATTGGCCACATTTAGGCCTCTTTTGTATATTGTACTGTATTTTACTTACTCTACATAGGGTAGTCTGCATAATATTTTGTGCTCTACTATTTCTTCCACCGGTGTTTTTTTCTTTTGATGTCTCTCCTGGGTTTGTGATTCATCCTCTTGGCCTTATTCCTTTCTTCCTTGATTTCTGGGATATACATTCTTCTATTGCTGTCTCGAGGATTTCCTGTTATAGCATTGAGTGCTGTTGTCAAAGTACAAGACGAATATCTCGGCTTGCATGCATAGAGACTTTATCCAAAACACAAATATGAAACATGAGTAAGATTGTAATAACTCTGTTCTGAAAATGATAATAGCTTTATTGGTCCCTAATACAGCAATATATATACTGTACTCTATAGGTAAAGTAGTAAGAAACAAAACGAACAGCTACTGTACTCATATTTTATATTTTCTCTGCTCCACAACACAACCTAGCAAATTTTTTACTATTACAGTATAAACATTCACATACGTTAAGGTCTGTCATACAAGACCTTGACGAATTATTCTTATTCTCATTTTTAATTCAGATAGTTCCAATACATCATCAAACTTTTCCTCTTAAATACACATGCTCTACTGTATAAGCAATTTTTCATTTCAGTTTATAATCGCCATTCTCGATTTTTTTTTTACTTGTTAGTCTTGTTAACTAGCCCCTCCTTGCCTTTCTCCCATTATTAAATAAGGTTTGTTAACACTGTATGAGTTTATCTATACAGTGAGTTCTGCTATAACGCGTGTTTTGACAACGCGAATTGGCTCTTACGCGATTTATGAATAGAGGAACAATATTTGTATAACGCGAACGCTTGTTTGCTGTATCGCGATTTTTGCTTACTATTTCTCCAATTTTGTGGTATTAACTGTGAATATGGTAAAGAAGAATTTCTCCAAGAAGCGTTCTGGTGATCGCATTCCCAGTGATGATCGTAAAAGAAAGGCTATAACCCTTGAAGAGAAGCTCGATGTTATTGTGGGGTACGGGATATTTGGTTCACACTCAGGATGGGATGGAGAAAGGAAACTCACAATGTGCTCTCTGTATACATATTGTATTGGATGTACAGTGCAGCTTCGTGCTGGGAAGTGGCAGCATGGTTACAAGCGTGATATAGAGAGAGCTGGTTGGTGAGGATGCTCAGAGGAGGACCAGCTTGTGGGTCGCCATGCTCGCCGTCGAGAGTGAGGGCCGCCAGGCAGGAGGAGGAGGAGGAGGAGGTATTGCTTGCTGGTTGGTGTAGGTAGAAAGAGAGGTAGGTCACCACGAGGTCAGGTCTTATATAGCGGAGGTAGGCATGGCTTAATAGTTGACCTCCGTCACGTAAGGCGGCGCTGGTTGACCTAGACCACGAGGCATACACTGGGGAATTCGTGGGGTCGGCTACTCAGCGACAAGCGTTTGTAGGGGAGGAATCCACTACATTATCTACCTCAAAATCAACCTTCTCCCCCATCAAGTTATATTCTTATTTTTTCAAGGTAGTGTTAAATTTACTGTGTGATTTTATTATTAGATATGAATGTAACATTTATTTAGACTGTGCTATCCTGTGTTAGGCTAACTACTAAATTTTTTTCGATTTCGAGTAGTAATCTGCACCTAACCCTATTTACTCCATAAGCCCTGTTATTTCTATTACTCGAATTTCTATAACACTATGTTTTACAAGAACATAACTATCGCGTTATAGCAGAACTGACTGTATTGCAATTCAGTACCTCATGGGGCATGATAGTTTTACATATCTATCTGCTTAAATAAGGGTAAATAAACTTAAAGTAGAGCAACTGTTTTATTTGCCGATGTGTTCATAAAATTACATTTAAAAGTAACACTGAAAATCTGTCTAACATTTCCAGCATAAATATGTATTGAATAATTGAGGTCCTTAAAGGCTAGTATGCTACTGTACATATTGCATTACATTTTAGTGCTCAATACTGAGTAAGGATCTTGTATATTTTAACAAATTGTGTAATACTGTACAGCACTGCAAAGGGCATTTCAAAAGATAAACTTAACAATCATATCCCTGTTTGGAAATTTTATTACAATAAATTTTCTTACAGTCAATTTAACTTTCACTTGGAACACTCTAGTCATGCAATATCATTAATGCAATTACTTTTCTGTAAGATCTTTATTTCTATGAACATTGGCAAAGCTGGTTCAAATTTCCCCTGATCTTAATGTATGCAAAAATAGCACAATGGAGTAGGGGAACAAGTGGTGCATTTAAATCTAACAGCTTATAGGTTTATATAATACAGTGTGAGATAAAATAATGATACCTAGAGTTAGACGGATATACAACACTCCTTACAGCTACTTTTTAATCTTCATGAATGTCTCGGCCAATGGAATGAACACAATGAAGACTATACAATACATATAAAAAATCCTTCAAAGGTTGTCAATCCTCTATGAATATTATTTATTATTGACTGACTAGACATGTCTATGACCTGACATGGTGAGATATGTGATATATTTTACCTGCATTATAGTTCCTCTTATTGCAGTCAACGTGGATGGCTGGGCGGCATGCTAATATTTACAGGCAAATGATCAGAGAGGCAACACAACAGAATAGCTGCTGCACCAATCATTTCACATGAAAATAGGTTATTCTAACAATTTGGAATTTAACATTAAAGCTAATCTTTTTACAACTCTGTGTTAGACCTACAGTATCTTATACAAGAACTCGTAAGCAATATGTTCATCTACACACCAGCCAGCAAATTTTAAGTGTTGATGATAAAAAGTGCAGAAAAAGCCTTCATTACTTTCTACACGTGCAACATAAATTGTATAGTGGTGCTGGGTGCTTTGGTCTGTGTGCTCTACCACTTTGTTTGTAAAAGCTATACAGTACCTTTCTGTCTGTAAACAATCATTAACAGTGAGAAATGACCGGAATAGTATTAATTACATAATATTTACCTTTTAAATAAAAAGTATGGTGTGTTCATAATTTTTAAAACGATTTTTATAATATTGGTCAGTTTTCCTAAAAAAAAACTCTTGATACTTGTACATGATGTAAGGAATCATTGCTCACTACTTCAAAGCTACTGTCTGCAAAACAACAACCCTGCATCTCAACAAGAATCAGCCTTATATAATAAATAAGATTGTCAGTTTATATTTAGTGCACCTTCAAAATCAGAAAAATGGTCTAATACACGCAAAATGCTTAAAAATATTTCTTCGATATACTGTACCCAGTTATTCAAGGATTAATAACACAATACTGGACAATATCCCCTAAAGCATGCAAGTACAATATTATATTTACCATTACTGTGTACTGTGCATAATCTTCAATTACATAAATGTAGGGTCTAGACTCTAGAGAGTTACCAACAAGTTTTGAAAAACTTGTATGTACACAAAATTTGAACTTTGCTTACTGACCCTCAGGTTATCATCAACTACAGAACTGTATCTAAGAAACACGATGACAATAAAAAAAAATTATCATGAAGGATCAGAAAATGTGAATTAGCAAGATACATTTGTTGTCACCATGCTTGTAATATACGGTATCTACCCAATTTTCTTGCTATTGTATCTCATTACATAAAGAGTAACACCTGTAAAATATCCCTGCATGAATGAATATAAGAATTACATCCTATATTACTTAGCCTGCTACAAGTTCCTTTTGCTACTACAGGTAGTTCAATGGAAAAGTAATGTTGATCCCTACTTCCCATATCCTAAGAGTTCCTGAAATATCCCACATATTATGAAAACTTAGAGCACATTCATATTCTCATTCATTGTGCAGTGAATAAAAAAAAGGTAGATATCACAAAAAAGTACCACAACTAACTCAAAATAATCACAAGCCCTTCACAAAACTTTAAAGGTTTTAAAAGGAGTGGTTGTTGTATTATATCCTATTTTATAAAAGCACAGTAAAGGTTTTTCTTTTAACACAAATATGTATCTGCCACTGCTTAAGCAGCAATGTAGGCTCTTGATGTCCTACACTATATTAAATTTTAATCATCCAGCTACTTTAAAATTTGATAGTAAGCAGTTCAGGGCTGAAGACAAGGAGATAACTACTATACCTGAAAAGCAATATTAAATTATCCAGTGTAGGCTAACAAACCCCTTTGTTCAAAATAAAGCTGCCTCCAATTTTTTTTTGACATATTAAACATAGCACTTGTGGATCACCTGAAGAATATCCAGCCCAGCTTATTTCACCAAAATATTAACCGACCTAATACTATTTGGGGGATAAGGTTCGAGGTTAGCATTAGGGTGGTTAATTTTTAGAAAAAATAAGTCGGGGTGGAGATTCTTGAGGTGATTTGCACTTACTACTTACAATATATGGAAAACAAGAACAAAATAAAATTTAAAAACATCCACAGGAGGAAAGTCCCATAGCAATTGGAAACTTATGTAAGTCTGATTTAAAGCACACCTGATTAAAGAAATATTATATTAATATATTTACTCTGCGTTATTGCAGGAAAAGGCTTCCAATACGTGTAATTGAAAAATACATTATTTTATAAACTTCAAGCATCTGTTCTTTTAAGCATATGAGATGTAAATGTCACTAAACTGGCACTTAAAACAATAGTCAGCAGTAAATATTTGCTATATATTAGTAGTAAAAACCTGACAAAACAAAGTAGTACAGTACTGTATGTAAATTGAACACTAATCCTAAATGCAACCACTTTCCCTTTTTTTCTAAATTGTTTTTGATAATTGTAAACTGTACACAAACCATAGTGCCTGAAAGGTAGAAATTCTTTCAGCATGTCATAACAGATGAAGGCAAATATAAGTGAATGCTATAATTCTGTCATTTTCCAGTACAGTACTAACTACTGTGCAGTATATCTGTTTTTATGAAAACAAAATCACAAGTAAATTAATTAATCATTTTCCACAGTTTGAGTCATTTATGCACTAATCAAGAACAATCAATTTTAACTGATTTAAAACATAACATATAGATTGGTTGCTCTTGGAAACCTATGGAGGCTTATTCATGGAAAATAAAAATGGGTTAACTTATCCCACAACTTAGTTACATTAAACCAACAGCACAACATGCTGAGCTGTCACAGTTTCTTTAAGTACAGGTGCTCCTCTACTTATGAATGAGTTACGTTCCTGAGGCTTGTTTGTAAGTCCAATTGTTTGCAAGTCCAACTTTATTGTTGTAGATACCAAACATATTGTAAAAAATTGATTATTGATATTTAGTAGAGCTATACCCTTTAATACTGCCTTAAAACCTGGCTCAATCTTCTCCTCTTAGGTAATGTTTGTTCTATCTGGAATTTTCTTCAAAATAATCCAGTCTCATCCACATTAAACACCTGTTCTGGCAGGTAACCCCCCCCCCTCAATGATGATGTTTGTATCTGAAAGTTTGTAAGTTAAACATTCTTAAGTAGAGGAGCACCTGTATTCCAGTTTTCTCTCCTTTATTGTGTAATGTTTCCCTTTACAGTTCGGTTATTCAGCCTTCTACCTTTATCCAGATTATTGTGCTGCTCTCCTTTACTCTCCTTGAATTATACCTTCTTATGAAACCCTCCTTTGTTTCACCTCTCCTCATATTTCAGTGTAAATATGTGATGATTCCTTCATTAATGTGGCATTCTGAAAACTCTTTAGTAATGAGACAAGCATAGATATTATTTGACTTGTAATATGCAAAAATTATTAGGAACCATAATTCATGAAAGGGGTTCTGCCAATCCACGTTTCTCTAAATGTGAGACATGATGAGCATAATATAAACAGAATACTTTGTTCGATGACACACCATATAACTCCATATCAATAAAAGGATAAAACCTTTAGTAAAACAACAGCATGAACACACTTGCAGTAAACTCAATTCCACATAACTTTTATCATGCCTAATTCCAATAGAATTTCAAATGCTGCTTTAAAAGTAAACAAATATTGTAAATGGATAAATAGTTCAACAAATTCTAACTATGATGGCCCATCACTCTTTAGATGTACACACACATGCAGACACACACAACTGACACTGTGCCTCATGTAAAATGAGCTACAGTGTCAACTATGTATAGTACTTCCACTCCTACAGTAGGAAGATATTTGGTAATACATAATGGCCTGTGGTCGTGTATTAACACCAAAAATATAAACTCCACAGGCGGTTAAAAGATGTTAAATATGGTGTGAACAGTTAAACCCCCAAATTCGAAATTACTCATTATTTGTAGAGTTTTGTTATGAAATGTACATTACAAATTTCGAAATATGAGACATTTTGAAATATTATGATATACCAATATAGTCAGTCCTCGAATTACGACGGGGTTAGGGACCGACGACCAAGTCGAAAATGCGAAAACAATACATAGAAAATCTAAAATGGGTGTCTCTTTTTCTTCTCATCACCACGAGAACTCTCACTTTTATGCTTGCCAGCCATTTTAAAGGGAATTACAAATGAAAATTTTGTCAGTAGACAGCGCGAACACTAACGTCAGGACTCGAAAATACGTAATTTGAAAAATATTTTATACGACTGCGGCGGTCGTATGTCCGGGTGGTCGTAAGTCAAGTAGGTCATAAGTCGAGGAGTACCTGTATTAATAATTTTTTTTAATACGTATTGTATTAGGTAAACTTTTGGATTATAAGAGACATTTATGAATATATTTATTGCACATGTGGCCATGAGATGAGACTGACCTGCTCAGTGTAAACAAGTACAGTACTAAACATGTGTCAGTCACGGTCAGTTCACGTTGGTCATTCGTGGAGTGCACATCTATAGTCTCCTGCACAAGAATTTTCCACTTGTTTTACCATCGTTGCCCAATGTTTGAGCTTGACCAACCACATAAATCTAATACTGTGCTTAGAAATGTTTAAATTTTGATTGGGGCAGATCACTGAAAAGTACCATTTTTTTTCTTCGTAAAAACTCATAAGGGCTAGAGCCGGTATTATTTCAAATTATGTGAGTTTTACTGAATTTAAATAAATACAAGGATAATTTTTTTTAAGGAATTGTAAATTTGCTAGTTATTGAAACCATTAAAATGACTCTGTAAGCCAACCAATACAGCAAGTACCACAATTTTTAAGCCTGTACACCTATATTCTAAATAGCACCAAAAAATAATCCTAAACTGTAGCCGAGATATAAAAACTCGGTTATTGGGCGCTCTATGTCAGATGGTAGAACTGTAATTTATGGATCAACATTTATGCTGACTAAATGTACACTTTACTACACAGCAAGCAGCAACTGTTATTCTTTTTAATAGAAATAATGCAGATACAGTAACTGCATTACCATGACAAATAATTTTTTCTCTTTCATCAATTCCAAAGTGTAGTAATATTGTTTTGCACCAATCAAAATAATTTGTATGATTTCCTAATCAATACCATTTTAAATCAAAGATAAATAATTTTGCAAATACTTTTGAAGGTTAAAGCTTCCTTTCCATACACAATCAAGCAAATAAAAAAATAAGTCATACAATGAAAATTTTTAATTTACCGTAATAACATTCATGATCAGATGGCTAAAAAAATAAATTTGCATATACATTACATAATTATATAAATTAAAAATGTACAGTAATGCAAAATCTTTCCAAAGCCATTGTTTATTTTGTTGTCTGGTCCATGTTCTCAATCCAAATATTTTAAAATAAAGTAGCTACAGTTTTCAAAACTACAAACTATCTACAAAATTTCAATGTATTTATTAACTGTCAATGCAGATGATTTACTTTCTCCAAATATTCTACCAAAAGTTTGGTACCACCAACTAAGATTAAGTAAGAGTAGGCTATTATCCATATTCAGTAAAGACCTTCAAGAGTCAAGAAAGAGTAATGCCCCCTGTAACAGGCAACATCAAATTTATTTGTTAATCCTCAGCCTTCTTGAAATCAATACTGTGTGGCGAGTAGTTTTGAATGTCAAATGACAAGAGATGGTGTAGGATGGCCCATGGCAACAACTGAGCCAGCTGAACTGATAACACTTATGTACTGATTGAGGCTGGCTATCTTGGCAACAAATTCAATAAAAAGTCCACATGAGTCTACCAAGGTACTCGATAAAGTCTCTGATTATGGATTCAACAAATATAATAAGTAAAACAAGAAAGGTAATACAATGTACCTGTAATAAAAAAAAAAGATTCATATTACCTTTGGAATTAATGCAAGAATATCAGTACAGGTATATTCAATATGGATAACAGATTATTCTCACTTGTCTTTAGCATATATACTTCATTGATGATGTTTTGGCATACTGTATAATGATTATGCCTTTATTCAAAAGAATATGCTAAATGTCTTCAAGATATCTTTATAAGACTAAGCATACAAAAGAGGTGGTACACAATACTCTTAAACACCTTGATTACTTTCAGTAGAATAAGAAGAAGCGGTGCCGTGAGTTGTGGGGAACTTGGTGCCATTCTCGCTTGGCATGGATGTACTGCAGAATGGCTCGCATGCAGATTAACATTCCTGGAACAAAGTTAAAAGAACATAAAATTCCATACGCCTTCAATGACATTTTTATGTGACTAACGAAAGAGATAGTATAACTTTGGCATCTGCATGGAGATGTAATCAAAGAATGAATTACTGTATCTACTGGGAGCTCCTTTCCACAACTAATTCAGGCATAAATAAGATATTGATCCTATAGTCCAATCATCAAGCGTCCGGCAACTCTCACACTGCCCGTACAAGCTCGTGAATCAGTTTCTATGGAACAATATTTTGCCTGACTGGGCTATTGCTCTCAGGGCCCCACCTGTTCTACCTTGCATAATACAGTAGTATATTTAGTTTCAGCCTAACCATTTCCCCCTTGCTGAACATTGCTCCAAACACATGCATTCATTCACAACCTTCAGCTCCTATCTATTCAAAGTGATTATACTGTTGGACTGTCCACCACTTTAAAAAATCATAACAGTATGTTACTCTTTCCAAAAATTAACAGCAACCTTCTGCAAATTCATTATGTTGTATTATCATTCCATCAAAATCTTCAGTCAAGATAAATACAGGTCAAGAATCCCTTAACCGAAAACCTTAAGAGCGATTACATTTCAGTCTCTGAATGCCTAGTTCTACTCACATTACAATATAGCCTAAGCTTATAATAATATTTACAAGCCTGGATCAAAACCTAAAATCTGACTGAAACAATTTTTTCACATACACCACCTCTTGCAATTAAAATATTTTTACAGTGAACATGATTTTGCTTAGATATTCATCAGTACTTAATGAAAAGGAACATTATTCTGCTGAAAGGCTATATACTGTATGGCAGAGACTGTTGCATGAGTAAGAAGCTTGGACACTTCAGCATACACCAGAAAGATGTTGGAGACATTTGAAATGTGGTGTTATAGGTGAATGTCATATAATTAGGGATGCAGGGATAATAACAGAAATATTCATGGGCAAAATTGAGGGTAGGAAGGCATCGTCTAGGATGGACGAACATACTGTATTTAAAAAATGGGTCCCAAGAAAAATACAAAATCATGGAGGATCGGTAAAAACAGCCTGAAAACATTTAGAGTAAAGGACTAGGGTCACCAACACTTAGATATGAGGATGGTGCTCTGATTGATTTAATCTACTGTTGTAAAACACGGAGTAGATTTCGATAATATGACATTCAGGTGTTGCTGGTTTAGTACTGTTTATATACTTTAGGACAGTTAACAGTACATATGATTTTTTGTTGGGTATTTTTCAATTCTTTATTGCAATGCGTAAAATGAACATAAAAGTTTGAAGGGGTTACAGGTTAATAAGCATGAAGACAGTGGCAGCTAGGTTAGCTGACCGGCCCCATTAGCTGCTAATTCAACTCAAAGCATCTGTTATGCATTTCATTGCAATCTTTGTCATAGATATGGTTTTAATATACATGTACTGTACAGGGGTTTTAGTTCAGGCCCATCACATGACTTATCCCTTCATACTTACATACAGCATTTCAATTTTTAGAATTTGGGGTAGAAGGATCCTTAACCTCTACATACACTCTGCATCACCATGACTTCAGGTTCATTTCACATCACCCATTTATGCTTTCCATGAAGATTTTAAATCCATCATTAAATAACCTGGGTGACATCACACACCTGATAGTTATTTCAAATTACTTAAACTACTTTAACTCTAGTGCCAGCAATGAAATTTTTGAAAGCCTTCATTAGACATTCACATACTCTTTACAAGATCAGCACATCCCCAGGGGCCCTCTGCTTATCTTATCATATCCTTCCTCTAAGTCTATAACGACAGTATTATACTCTCTCAACTACTATTTCTCTTGGTGTACGTAAATATATGATAAATTCACCCTCTTCCTTTGCTAAAAATTGTATTCTTCTATTCACCCTTGACTTGAACTGAATGACACAAGTGAATTAGGTCTTCTACATCACTTGAAAGCTTCACTTGTCATTAACTTTATTGACTAAGATAATTCTCATACACATTTCCTCTCCACTAAATAATGTAATTTCTGCTTTGATTTTCCTGAAAAATGAGATGTACTGAATAAAATTATCTGGCGTTAGCCAAATCAAATATTAAAAGTGGCATTCCGTAGTGAAGGGGCTAAAAGGATTTCCTAAGCTTTTATCAGTGGAAGCAAAAATTAAACAATATATTGTACACAATGTTTCTTTCTGTATACAATATATACTTACCAAGAGCCATAATAAGCCATAGAAGCCAAGTGTTGGAGTCAGCCACTAAGTCTGTAGAGTGTTGAACGATGACTGCCCACTTAGCTAAGGAAAGACCAAAACCTGCCAAAGCACCTGTGCGACCAGCAACTGTGTGACAGAAACACAAGAGCAACACGAATCCAACCCAATTGAAGACGAAAGCAGCTGAAAATAATAATAAAAATTTTAATCTGATACAATTTCCATATATAAAATAGATGTGTTGCAGTTGAGCAGTGCACATGTATCAGCTGAGCTGGTCTGTCCAAATGCCTAAGGAAGGTTGTACAGGTATCTCATTACTATAAACACTGGAATTGGCAAACAATCTTGACAAATGGTTTCTCCAAGATATCTGTGCCATATGGTACAGACTTCCAGTATGAAAAGAATATAGTGTTTATACCTGCAAAGGCCACAAAAAACATGAAGTCTGTGCCAAGTAGCTGCTCCTCAGCTATTTCAGCAGTCTCAGGATCAAGTCCCCCTAAGGAGGATACACGAAGAACACGCATCCCACTACCACTTGTACCAGTCACATTGCCTGCACCACCAAGTGACCCATTTCCCTAAAATCATGAAAAAAAGATATAGTACATTAATTACTCATTCTTATCATTTCACCTGAGTCATACATAAAATCATTTAACAAGAAGGTTAAATACAGTACAGTACTGTATAGATATTCTTACTATTACAGGGGTAAGAGGGTAGTCTTTGATTACCTCAGGAAGTTGCGACCCTGCCCTGCCAGATGAAGTTTCCACCCTGCGGGTTGGTGATAGGAAGAGCATCCAGTTGTAAAACTGTGCTTCAACATGCCTGATGGCAACCAGGGAGCTGTCATCGGATAACCACGGATAACCCACTCAAGCGTGGAAAATGGCCTTAAAACATTGATGGTGATTGCATCTGTGTATTTCCAGGTATTATAAACAAATAACCTCTTTCCATTAATCAGAGTTATGATCTGATTTGACAAATAATATTGCGAAAAAAATTATAATTAGTTTCTAAAATTATTGCATGTGACATAACAATTCAGCAATGTTTAAGGACAGCAAATCGAAATGTCCATCACTTGTGTACCATACTGTATTTCTGTACTATTTTTAATATGTTATACAGAGAAGTGGAGCTGATCATCTCTTACTGAACACCATCTCCTCACAGTTAACTGCCACATAGACTAAAAAGGCCATAATCTAGGGTTCCTTGGCCAGTAACAACATTAATGTTCTATATAACACCTGCAGTGTCTCTCATAAATACAATACTAAACAAAGTACAGTTTTCAGTTCTTCTGGGAGCACAGATAGTGCAATAGCTGTAGGGAGGTTAATCTATGCCACTCCTCTGGTAATACTAGGTAGTCTTGTCTTGAAATTACTGTACTTTTTATAAGAATGACTCAGTCTCTCTTAGATCCCTTTAAAGCTAAAAGTTCCATCCTTTTTATTTCATTCATTTTTAATAATTTATCTTTTTTTTTTCTTTTTCTTTTCAAATTGGGGATGGGGAACAACCCATTCTGATTTTACCCAACAGCTGCCATCAGATAATTTCAGCTAACCTATGCAAGCATGGAAAATGGCTGAAAATAATTGATGATGATGATTTTTAAGAATACAGGGTATTTCGGAAATTCAGTTTCACCAGCACATCTAACACACCAGTTTTGGGGTTAAATAATGAAGGTAACCTCACAAATCCCTATCACATCCTATGTACGTACACTGCAGAATAAGCTTCCCACTCTCTTGACTTCTTTATAGGTGGGGCTAGAGTAATAAATTATTGTCAATATTCTTGCCTCACCCTTCACTGAACGAAATCTACAGCATTGTACTGAACTATCAATGAAAATATGTGCTGTTGATTTAGTTTAAAACAAAGTAGCTACTACTGTATGTCACAATGAAAATTTACAAATATTTTAAGTCTCTTTGTAACACATAAATTTACAAAATAAAATTCAGAGATACAATACAAATGCCTCAACCATAACATTATGAAAGGTTCTCGGCCTCACATGACAAAGCGGCAAAGTAAAATCCTCAGCTGCTTCAAGAGCTTTGAGCCTTTGCACTTCTTCATAACTGGGAGGCTGCACTTCAGAAGATTCTTCTGACAGGGGTTCCCCCATGGACGTGGTGAATCCATCTCTGGTGTCGGACTCCTCATAGGGTGGAGGAGCATGCATATCAGGTTTTGGGGGAGGAATGTCATCCAAAGTTGAATGGACTGCACCATCATCTGTCACCTGCAAAATGATAGGACTTATAATTCTTTCTCAATTATGGTACAAACTTCACTAGTCAGTTAAAGGGAGTGTTTTCAATGTATTTTGCCACAGTGAACTTCATGGGGAAATAAGTCTGGACAGAATGGACAAAAAGTGCCAATTTCTTAATTCATCTTAAGATAATGTGGTGAAATATACTGTACCTGTACTAAGTTTGGTCTCACTCCATTTCTACTTGAGTTATCATTTTCAAAATTCCTGGATGCACTGATGAGCACACACAGATTTGCTCAGACAGATGAATGAACAGACCCCCTCCAGCAGGGAGAGAGAGGTACAATGCATACTGATATTAGCAAACATTTATATCTGTAGTACTGTATGTGTAAACTTACAGAGTATGGTGGTGGTGCAGCACTTGCTGCAGCAGCTTCCTCTAGCCTCTGGTTAGGAGTGGAATCTGACATATTCTCAGCAATCTCCTCGTCTGACAATGGAACCTGTGAAGTTATGAGTTATCTTAAGGCGTAATCATACTGTTAACATATATGGCAGTTAAAAACAGAACTGTCGACAAATAAAATCAGGAATCCAATTATGTACAACCCAATTTTAGCCTTAGAATGAATAAAAGTATCTTCCATCAAAACACCTTAACTAAACAAAACTACTGTACCTAATTTACCCATAGCACACCTTCTAATGAAAGAAATTTCCAGTTTAATTGAATATAATAGACATGAAATACAACAACATGCAGTATTAAAAAAAATTACATATGTTTAAGGAATTTTTTTGGGGGGGGAGACAGGGCTCAAATATAACCTTACCTAGTATAGCCTAACTTGGTCAAATTTTGACTACTGGAGTGAGTACTGGTCCATTAACTTCTTTTAAGTGATTTTATGACTGAAAATTACTGAGATTCTCTGATATGCATGAGCTATTCTGGAAAAACACTAGTTTCATATATCCATGGAACACATAGGTACATTATGGGGATATGATTGAATTTTATTTAAAATTACAGTTATGTTTCTGCTAACCAAAAATCTACTTTATGAAATAATCTATTTTATGTAAATATCTAAATATGAAATACTGTATAAAAAATAGAATAAGTTTACTTTATTAAATTAAAACATACAGTATTACATGAGAGTAAATGAGGAGAAACTGGGCAATCATTCGACTGGTTCAGTGACTTGTCTATATGTAGACTTAATAACATTGAGATTTAGAGAATAATGCAGTAAGTTAGTGTACAGGTGTTCGCAGAAACTAATAATAAATGGTACAGGTATCCCTCGTTTTAAGACCACCTCCCTATTTACAATAAAAAATCGTCCGGCCAAACTCGCTAATGCTCGGATCATGGAACGTGTCTCCCGCTGCACTTGTCAGCCGCAGCGTAATCTACTGTACAGTACAGTACTGTAATTGCAAACTGTGAATATTTTTAAGAACAACAAACTTACAAAATTATTTTAACATATTGGCACATTGTAGGAGTCAATATTTGATTGTCATGACTAATACAATACACCCAAGCTTAATGCCTGCTGTACAGTAAGGTAGAGGTGAAACGGTACTGTACAGCCCTTTCACAGGACGTGTCAAAAGTTAACAACAATGGTAATCAACTCTAAAATCTCTTAAGTACGTCACTCAGAAGTAATGGTCCTGAATACAGGGCAAAAACAACAGACACACAATAGTGCCCTAAAATACTCTATACAATTATAAATCCCGTACAGATGTGATCTCTGGCCTTCAGAACTCGGGACATTTCCTGGCTGAGCTACAATGACACTCAACAAGATTTATAATGAATTTAACCTTCTTAGGATGCTTCTTACCTATCATAATGTCTAATCAGCACAAATGAAAATACTCACTGGTTGATATCGTATGCTGGATGGCATGATATTTCCACCAACAGGTGGTTAAAAATATCTGCTAATAACAAGACGATCTGTCTAAGATGTATTGTTTTGCTTGTCGATGTTGTCGATTTCTAGCCAGTGGTGCCTCTCTTAATTCTTTTGGCATCTGTATATTAATTTATTAAGGCTCTCAAGATTATTGTATATTATATTATCAATCAAAATATTTAATTTATATATAATTATATATTTTTAAGTGAAATTGATGCTTGTTAAGTAAATATGTATCTACAAAAATATTCGTTTCTTTACCTGTGTTCGTATATGGTTAAAATTGACTTCGGTATAATTTACAGGGGAATTTGACGTTTTTATTTGCTATCTATTAAGGGTATACTTGCCATAAATTTGTGTACAAAATTAAAAACTAATTTTACATCCACGGTTTAAAAGTTTTAATACAAGAATAAAATTTAATCCAATAATACAGATACGTAACTGATTTTCGGACAGCACTAAAATATACTTTATTTATATATTTCTATTTTATTATGACATTTAAATCGTATATACATTTTCTGCTATTCCAAGTTTTCATAATGACTGAGAGAACTGGCAGAAAATAATACATATGTTCTTGCTGACGACATCTGTTTTCTCTGACGTCATGAAATAACAGCCCAGTGATTGGTCAAAGCTTTCTATTAGGCCAGCTGACTGTATAATGTAGTTACTATTTATTCTCTGGTATATCGTGACCTTTTCGTTACCTTTGTTATGAAATGATAATTATTAATATCTTGATATGAAATTTGATACTATGATTAATTTAAGATAGTAGCCAGGTTTCGAATTCCGTTATTTTATTGTTTGCAACAGCATTACCTAACAAAAATAAGACGAATTTTCTTTCAGACATTTTCGGCGCTGACGAGAAATAACGGATATATAGTGAGTTAAAAAACATTCCCTTAAAGAGCTCTGTTTTCGGCAATAGGTTAACAATGAACTGAGGAGAATGATGCATTGGTGGTTAGGTTAGGGTTCTTGTCCGCCCAGCGAAATTAAGCAATGTTGGGTCTGGTTAGTGCCTGGCCCTAAGAACACCAGAGGCTGCTGGCATAAGCCTCTCATGGTTTTGTCAGCTGTCCTAACAAATGTGTCTGAACGTCACTAAATTATTCAGGAAAATCAAGAACCAAACGCTACAGGAAGATCTCTTATCAGCTTCAGGAGTGGTCAAAGCAATGGCTGTTAAGATTCAACGTCACGAAATGCTAAAGGATGCACCTACTGTAGGTTGTACCAATAGTAAGGATGCGTATCACATGTCCTACCGTGACGAAGAAACAGCATTAACGGAGACCAAATGTGAAAAGGATCTGGGTGTATTTGTTGACAATGAACTGAAGTTACCGGACCATTGTGGGACGAATGCAAATCAAGCAAGTAATAGTTGGACTTATACGCTCTTCAAAAGTGAGATGCTACACTGTTTGGAGTACTGTCATCCCGTCTAGTCCCCGAGATATGCTATACTGTAGACGGGCCAGTGGTGATGTTTGCAAGCACCAGGTCCAGGTCCTTGTGGCACTGGAGGGATGCCCCATCTTTTTCGTTTCTAGTTTTTATTGAGGGTGTTTGTGAACTTTTGAGGTCTTTGTTTGTTTGTGGGGTCCCTCCAGGTCCTTGTGTGACTGGAGAGTTGTTCCCATCTTTTGGTTCTTTTTGTTCTTCACGGCGAGGCTGGGGGTATTTATACGATTCTGCCGGCGCTGCTGATTGGCTGAGGTGAAAGGGGGTAACTGCCCAATCACCGCGCAGTCTGAAAGCGAGGCTTGGCCTGAGGAACTCGCCGCAGGTTGGCTGGTAAGCGACAGTTGTAGGGGAGAGTATCCACTACAAGCGCACTACCAAGTACCTTTCTCAACAAGTTGCTGAATAACAATCACGTTTTCATAAAATTAGTCCACTTTTAAATATGCACGGTTATAAATCATATTTATTCGTTATATCCAATTATTAGCAGGATAAAGAAGTGAGGTGTTGATTATATGTAGAAGTCCGCGTGCTTTATTGGGCTAATGAAATATATATATATATATATATATATATATATATATATATATATATATATATATATATATATATATATATATATATATATATATATATATATATATATATATATATATATATACAAGGAAAGAAGAAAACACGTTGCTTTCGTGTAATTCACATCTTCAGAGTACAGACGTGAAGATGTGAATTACACGAAAGCGCTTGGGAAGGCATATACCTAGATCAGTACAGTGATTTACTTGCATATATATATATATATATATATATATATATATATATATATATATATATATATATATATATATGTATATATATATATACACACATACAAGGTGTCCCATAAATTTCCATACATAGGAAAAATAAATTTTATATGAAAATCCATTTTTATTTATATAATATGCTCTACATGACTACCATTCTGTTGAAAACACTCTTCAATGCGTGTCCTCCACTGCTGAAGAACACGTTCAAGCACAGCTGGAGTTATGCTTGTAATGGCGTTGGTGATACGTTGTATGGAAACTTATGGGACACCCTGTATATATATATATATATATATATATATATATATATATATATATATATATATATATATATATATATATATATATATATATATATTGTTAAAAATCTCTTATTACTTATCTCTAATTTTCGGTAAGTTAAAAAAATGCACTTTGATGAATATTGAATTTAAATTTGATTTCATATTCTAAAATACGTCAAACGAAAAATAAATAAACAAATGTTAAAATAACAATAACGAAGATAAGAAACCTGTAGAAAAATAAAAATTGCAACAGTTGTCAATACATTCTAAACAAAATAAAATCAAGACAAATAAAATATTACATGTAATTCTTATCATGGTGTAGATATAAGGTGGTGCAACTGATCATGAATCATGGAACCTTAATATAAGAACAAGTAACCATAGTTTTCCATAACTCATCAATGTGCAATATGAAATGCTGTACTTAATTCATGAAAGCACAGAAAATGAAGTCAACTTTAGTTTTTGTTACATCTTACCTTCTAAATTTTGGTCAGGGTCTGCATTAAAGCATAGTCTTGACTGCAGATGCCAAATCATTTCTTGTAGAAAATGGTGACTGCATACACAATGGCTTCTATTTAGATCTTGAAATAATTTTCCTTTCAAAGGTGTGCTTTTTTCTTCTAGTATTCTCTGCCATCTACTATCTGAAAAAAATATCCAGAATTACTTAGTTACTAAAATTATAATAAGAATAATACCTGCCCCTAGCATCTTCCATGAAAATTTTTTAACTTTCAACATATTATACATCGATGATAATTAGGACTAATACAATCTTACTCTTAGTCTATTTTTTAAATATATTTACAATACAGTACTTACTTTTCCATATCTTTGGGGAATCGATGAAATACGAAATTGGGATGTGTATCCTTTCTCCGTTTGCAGATTATGCACGGGTGTCCTTTACTTGTCATGTTAATAAGAGCATTCATTTGTATATTGCGCTCGTGGGAGGATTCCGATTGTCATATTCAATGTGTAAACTAGCACGACCCGCTCCACACTAGCTACATCTATCCGCCGCGCTACCAAATTTGTGCGTTCGTTCGTGTGTTAACCATTACATGTGAATACCTGATCTTTCCCGTCTTCTCATAGTCTTTGGTAATACTTTAGTATACCGTGAAAACTTTTGAATTTTCTATGACGAGTCTCGTAATATAAAGTTTTCGGATTGTGATTTCTGTTGATTATTATTGCTGTTATATAAAGTATATAAATGTTTAAAATGTATGTTTAAATTCTTGTATGATACTGATGGTTAAGGAAATTAGTAACGGATCAACAAAATTGAAACATGTGTTTATACTTCTTAAATAAAGATGGGCCTTAAGTCACTCCTGCTTTGTAGAAATCGCTGTGGCAGGGTTATGAATGGCTTGGACTAAAATTAATTAATTTAACTGAGGATAAATATTGTAATAATAATCGTTACTGCTGGAAAATGCACTGTAAAGAGCAATTGCTCTTTAATTGGAGGCCGTAGTGACATCTGGCAGCTTGTAGCTGTGCCGTCGCCTGGTCGTCGTCTCGTGTGATGGTGTCAGTGTTCAACAAGCATTACCTTAGTGCAGTGATGTTCGCCCTGTGCTGGGTGTTGTTACAATGTTGTGGGTAGTGCTTGAATGACAGTAAAATGACGTCATCTAACCAACGAGAGAGCCAGAGGCTCTTTGACTACTTTTCTATCATTGGATTAAGTCCTGATGGAGGACTGGAACCTGACCGTTTGCAAGGTATGCCATTGATTTTGTCCTGGGAAGCATAAGCTGAGAATCCACGGAGGCGGCCTTTGTGTGTGTGTGTGTCCTGGCTCAGGACTCCAGATATGACGAAGTGCATCACTCGACTCTATGTCATCCTAATTTATCATGTTTCCTATGATATGGATTTTAGCTTATGCATGGAAGAAAATAATTTTTTGATTATAAATTGATAATTTATCATAACTAATTCCTTTGTAATAACGTACTAGCAGTTAAATGCCGTATCTACGGCATAATGCATAGGTTTAAATAATGGATCACACTGAGTAATGTAAACAGGTAAATCTTATAAGGGTGTTTATACACTACTGTAGATGCTTTTATAAATAATTTAGTCGTATATATCATGGTGTACCTACTTATTAAGTACGCCCTTTAGTTTCAGTATTTTGAGTTTGTATTTGATTTATTCAAATGACTAACACTATAATGGCAAGCTTCTTTCTTTGTGATATAGAACATCCATGTTTCATATATGCACGAATATTGGTGCACCTCGTCAGATTCACATATAGGATAAAATAAGGCCAACATAAGCTGAAAAGGTGGAATATTTTGTATGTAGTACTTAATAATACAAACGATAAGAAACTGAAACGCACTGTTTGAGGTAAATCGCAAATAACCTTATATTTAAGATGATAATAAATGATGTCCATACGCATATTTTTTAGTGACGCGGTACTCACAACACTTGTCTTCCTATTGACAATCTTGTCATACACATCTGTTTATCACTGTGCAGCATCACTTTACAACAGATGCTTCGAACGTGTGTGTATACGGACTCAAAGTTTCAATACCTACTTAGATCTTTCTTGTTTATATTAATAGGAAAGGAAAACATACCTTTCACTGAACTACAGTATTTAGGTTTTCACTACTCCTGTTTTGACAGATCAAGTGGCCTTTTTGCTTAAGTAAACTAAAATTCGAAATGGTGAAATGTAGATAACAAATTGTACAAACTCCTTGCATAGATACCTGGAAAGCTTACATTAATTATACATGTTACGTAAGAACTAGTTCATAGCCCTCGATACTCTGTGCTAGAAGGGAACCCAAAGAAAACATACTGCATTGGAGGATTTTTTTGCAGTTTAGGGTTGGGTCATTAAGGTTTTCTTAAACTGGAACCTAATTAGAATATTTGTATTACATATAGTATGGGAATGCAGCAAATATCTTCTCGATGTTAACTTTCCATTGAACTCTTAACAAACCCGTATCTTAATATTGGTGTGCCCACGTCCGTTGACTGGTGACTTTCTGTGTACTGTATGTTTGTAGGTCTGAGTAAAACTGTCCATTTTAACTCGAATCGGAGTCATCTAAAGATTCACCACCCCAGTGAAATGTTTCATAGAATTGCTGTGAACATTATTACAGGATGTTGCCAGGTATACATATCTATAACCCAACAAAATTCAGGCAGTGATTTCACGGAACCTCTTCAGGGTTAGCCACTTCCCGTTTTTTTTAATCTGCCACTACACCATGGTGTCATTAAACTAAGTGGTGCAAGACGAAGTGTAGAAAGCGATAGTAACGAGCTGAAACTAGTAAATATACTCCATAATTTTCTTAGTCATAACCAGCATACTCATTTTGTATAAATGAATCCATAACCACCACATTTAATTCATATTTATTCACAGTGTACATGTCGAGTTACCGGGCTCATTCATGCTTCTCACTGTCTCGTACTAAATAACTCCATGCTCGACCCACAAACTTTCTTGTAGCATCAAACACATATACTGTAACCCCCAAACCTCACTGTTTCACTTTTGAAGACCGTCCATCTTTTTCTTGACCTATCTGTAGTTGTCGGGCTTTCATTAAATAACCATAGTGGAAATGCATGTCAACTTCTTTTACTTAATGGGTAATTTCTTGGCAGTTAAAAGAGCTCGGCGGTCAGAACAGTCCTTAGAAGTGGCAGTAATAGTGTAGTGAACGCTATGTTGCTCAATTAATTGTTAGTATTTTTGCAGTTTCATGAATTCTGTTTGCGGTAGCTAATGCACGCACTGCTTTTTATGACACCAGTATGTCCAGTATGTATAATCTAAGATATGTAAGAAGCTTATAAGTAAAGGGAAATGTTTGAAGCAGCTGCATACTCCAACTGTCCATTTTCTCATCCTTCCGTTGGATTTTTTCCAAGAAAACAATAGTGACAGTCAAATCTCCACAATTGAATTTCGGAGCCATATACGGTATGTTCATTCTTTTTTGTCGTAGCACTTGTGAGGCAGTTAGATACGTTCTCACTTCGGAGGAAATTTAACGTGTAAATCTCTGAGAATCCTGGTTCATTATTAATAATATTAAGTCTCTATTAGTCAGCCACGGATGTAAGTTAGAATATACAGTATTTACGTGGGAGATGAGCCAAGTTGGTTAACTGAAGTACCGGTACCCTTGAACAATGAAAGAGGGATATAAAGTAAACTTCTCTTGGTAAAATACACGTGTATAAAGACAAAAGTATTCTTGGTGATATATAGGGGATATAAATTTAATATAAAGTAAATTAATCCAGTTTCCACAATTAAATGTGTGTAGCTACTCGTTGGTCTTACCGAGTTCAACATTTACTTGGGCACTCAGTTTTATCTTGCTTACTCTTCATATTTTTCCCCTTGTCCTTGTTTCCCTTTCCATTTTTTTCGTATTAATCCCCCATTTCGGTTGTGAGTGAACTATAGCCTTGAGGAACCAAAGGATTTACAAGATATACAGGGTTCAGATGAAATCTTTACAACTTTGAATAAGTATAACTTCCGAAAGAGATCATATAATTTAACGTATGGACGTGGAATAATGGTGACAAGGAGTGAATATAAACGGTAGGATATGTTATTTTCCGTAAAGCAAACCTCATTAAAATGTGTTTTCATTCTCTATTCATAGTGATTCAAAGTTTTAAAGGTTTCACGTGGACACTTAATTACTGTACAGTACTACAAACAATAGAATACTGTATATAAAATTTCTATGCTGTCACAGTGAGAGCTTTGTTAAGTAATAATTCATATTAATTTCATGTAGCGTATGCTGCGGGCTGAGTGCTGAAAAATCATAGAGCATACCATTCTCGGTTTTTTTTATGGGGATTAGCCCACTCGGGCACAGGTCACTGACCCACATTGAGGCCTGGGGGCGAAAATGTAATAATAATAATAATAATAATAACAATGCGGAATAAGTACGTTTATTTGATATTCTGTTGGGATTGCCAAGAGACCACCATGTCATGTAGGTTGGCCTCGGATTCCGAGATTTGTACGTAAAATTTTCCATTAGCTGGGGATGTGAGAACTTATTTTAACGATCTCACATCAGCCTCGATACAAAGATTGATTATTTATTGGTGATTGGTTCATTAAAATTTTCCCATAACCAGTGATGTAAAAACGTAACTAAATGACTTATTATAGTAAAGGTTCACAGATAGGGTCGTACGTTAACGTTAAATGTTCCCCATAGTTTATGAAATAAAAACGAAATCATTGGTACAACAAGAATGGCTGTCAAACTTATGCCTATATTACAGTGACCGGTGTGTAAATATATATTCCTTCATCGTTCCGTTAGAATAGATAAAAATAACCTTGGTTCTTTAATCACTCATTGTAAAGGGCGACTCGTTCACAGAGCTTCAGTTGTTACCGATATGGGGAGTGGGCATACCAACATGACGGTACGCTAAAGAAAACATCAAAGCATTTCTTCCAGCGTTTCAACTACAAAAACGGAAAAAAATAGTTACTTTTTGGGGGGGACTGGATATGAAGATTTTATTTTTTTTTTATTCTTCATTATTCGTTAATAACTTAAAACGAATTCATACATGGGCTGACTGTATATATTGAATGCAATAATGAATAATTTTTGCAGTATTACACACGTAGGATGATGATAAACCCAAACTACCCTGTATGGTATTGGTTACAGTAATCAAGCTTCAGCTATTGTTGGTCTGTTTGAAGTATTTTAACTCTTGTTATCGGATTCCGTAATGTCACGTATCCTCAGTAAATCGCTAATTAAAACTCTAGCATCTGTCACTCCTTGATTCCTCTTATATAAACACTTTGCTTCGTGGTTAAGAATCTAAGGATCGTATTTTTTTCGTATGAACCCGATTTTTTCCCTTTAAGTTTTGATATTGTTCTTTTGTTATTTGGCGTAAAACATCTGGGTTTTTATGGAAGAGCGAAACAATGATAAACACGCTATAATGAGGATGACGGGGTAGCTCAACGCCAGGGTAAGCACTGCATAGACTAGTACTAAAAACGAGTAGTGTCCAGATGTCGCCAACTGACAAACTGTAGACAAGGTCACTGACTGTAAATGGGCTATCCTTAACTTTTCTCCTGGCAGTCAATTATTGGATCAGGTTTAGGGAGGAATAGTTTAATTATTTTAAACTAATTGGATAAGCAACCATTCCTCGAAGTAAATTTCAGGCAGTTATAAATACTTAAGAGGTGGCAACACTGGGGACGTCCTTGTGCAAGTTTGTGTTCTCTTCTGCGTTAACTGCGACTTGGACGCGGATGTTATTGGAACTCATCAGTTTTTATATTTTATATATGCACGATATTTTATCCTCTCGTACCTGAAGAACCGGGTCCTGGTTATGATATTAGGTTGCTTAAGTCCTGTAGTAGTTTGCAGTGCACTTGGTCCACTTGAGGATTCCCCGTTGCACAGCCACCCCAGGTCTGAGTTAGCGACTACGACTGTTGGGGAAGTCCATCACGTAGCGCTACTGTGTCCTGTCTTTCCTGCAGGAGATTCAGGCGTTACGCTGGTGTTATGCGTTGATGGTGAAAGTTGACACTAGATGCACCGGAGTGCCTGAACCTTTTCACTGGCAGTGAACAAATTGATTCCAATTAATTGGTGTCGGAAGGTTGCTAGTGTCGAGTTTTAGGTCTGAAACTTGTGCTACT